TTTCAAGCAAAAGTAAAAAAAAAAAAGTTTAGTGTTTTTTCAAATTTCACCATATCTTTTTTTATTTTTAAGTAAATTATGACATATTACAAATAATGGTATGTAAAGAAAGCCCTTTTTGTCCTGAAAAACAATATATAACTTGTATGGGAACAGTAAATGGGAGCGAGGAAAATTACAGCTAAACGCAAACACAACAAAAGTGTTAAAAAAGAGCCCTGGTCCTTAACGTACAACATCGCAGAAACAGACACTGTCCTGAAGGGGTAAATTGATGTTAGCTTTTATAACTTTCACCTATTGTATCTCTCCCATTGATTGTTTTAGTTGTTTTATCTGGCCCCAGACTCTCTATAACAACCTATGTCCAAAACAGCATTCATAAGTTTCACTCAGGACTCGGCATCATCTGGTCTTGCAGACAAGGCCATATACTAGCAGATAAAGATTAAGTCTCTCAAAACTCACTCAAACTTTTTTTTGCTCTCTTTCTAGAGGGCCACAGTCCACTTTCACCTTTCAATTGTGCTACTTCCCAGCCTGCTGCTTGGTTGCTATTCCCTAGTCTGCCCTTATTGTGTTTTTATACCCTACCTGATGTAGATTGAAAGCACTTTCAAGCAGGGTCATTATCAACCTATTGTTTTGTAACAATTTATAATAATTAGCTGTATGTAAATGCCAATAATAATAATATTAGATTTAACATGTGTAATGGATCACCTGGCACCCCTACTGGGTACCTCCGTTGAAGGATGCTCCTAGCGCTTACAGAGGGCTCCAAGCGCTCCGCCAGACACCACAACCATTGTACACCTCACCACAGATTGGTTGGGGTCTCGCCGTCTCCTACCCACCCTGGACCTACGACAAGGCTCCAGGTTCCAGTGGGTAAACCTCTCCTCCAAGAGAGTGAAGCAGGAACAAGCTCTTAAAAGAGCTTAGTAGTGATTAGCTACGGGAGTATGCAGAGAATAGCAATCCCTTGTAGTGATATAGCAATTCCCCCAGTAAAAGACAGGACTCTAGATTGAGGGTGAAGAAGAACTCTGTTTACTTGGTACCAAAGGGCTTTCTTTTATGCAGGTTTAACACATACAGGACCGCCCACAGGGTTTTACAGAACAACCAATAAACACGTAGTATACAGTACAAACACTCCCATATATCTCCTCCCCTCTGCTTGGGAGGTAATTGAGTTTCTTACTGTATCTACTCCATTATCTCCAAGCTGTAAAATCATACTTTTTACCCAACTTTCATAACTCTAAAACCATACATCCAATATTAATAAAAGTCACATATTATTAATCAGCACATTCCAAATACAAACATACCCAAAAAACATTTGAATCCATTCAGCCGTTCGGGAGATAGATATGTCACTTTTGACCGACTGCAAGCACATTTTCATGCCCAAAACAGTGAGAAAATGACTAAGTCCCATTCGAACGAGCGGCCGCAGTGTCGAAGTAGAGTAGAAGGTACGGGTCAGCTGTGTTTGTGCAATTGGGTAGCCAAAAACAGTTCCATAGATTTGGCTGCACACACTGCTGATCACGTTCGAATTAGTTAAAATGGCCGCCGCCACGTGTTCGGTTTTCGAATGGCGGCCAATTTGACGACTTCGACTCCGAAGTGCCAGTTTAAAAGTACAAATCTTTTCTCTGGGAATTAAAGGGCCAGAAACAGCAATATAAAACTCAATTATGCCCAAATTAGTTCCTAGAACGGCAATACATCCCAGGGCCATAGTCGCAGGGCAGGAGGCTGGCAAACAGGCCCCTCCAAAAACCAGGGGCGAGTTCACTTTCGCCACAACATGCACGTATACATATCAATTACCACAATCCTATTAAAGTCTGCTTAACATGTGTGCCCAGAACGCTTATTTAATTTAATAGTGTGCTGTGGGCATTTGATTTCTAAAAGTTTGTTTCCTTCTGGCATTATGCCCAGCTTCGTGAATACAATTTTTAGAAAGTAAATGCTAATTATTTTAGTCAAATAATTGTAGATTATGCTAGCTTTAGTGTACCTTTAATCTTAATTGTATTAATGACAGGATGCAAGTGTAACGGATCACATGGCACCCCAACTGGGTACCTCCGTTAAAGGATGCTCCTAGCGCTTCCTGAGGACTCCAAGCACTGCAGCAGACACCACAACCACCGAACCGGAGAAGTATATGAATCCTCTCAAGCATATGAATGCTGTAGACAGTTGAATAGGAACCATACGAATAGGTTTACTCTCCTAGCAGTCAAACTGGAACAGCATACAATAAATCCTTCCCCCAATAATGAGACAACACTTCACTTTGAGGGTTAAGCAGGAACTCCAGTGCTGGCACACCCAGCCTGGTTTTTATTACAATCCACAAAACATAGTACTGCCCACAGGGTTTTGCAGAACCACCAATAAACACATTACAACACATACAATGCAAGTACAGCAGCCAATCAGACACAATGGGACAATAGAAACACACCCAGCATATTCCTCCCCTCTGCTTAGGAGATAATTGAGTCAATTACTGTATCTACTCAATTATCTCCAAGCTGAAAAGTTACTTTTTGTACATTTTTATAACTTTGTGAGTTAACATCGTACATACATAAAACTTACATTTTCATAATCAATCCATTCAGGGGAACAACATATTTAAAAAATGGCACGAATCAGACCAGGGGTTCAAAAGTTAAGGGAAAGTCCTTTGTGACTAAATGAAGCATGGCTTTCCGGCCCAAACCAGTTTCAGAGTCTTCTATCCTGGAGAGTAATTCAATTATCTCCCAGGACAGACACAAGACTCCATTAAGCACATGGTTGCAAAAAGACACAAAACACTTTAAAATACATAAAGTCACATTTTATACATAAAACACGGACATGTCACATATCCCCAGATAGCTGGGATCTGAGCGCACAAAACTACCGAATAGCGCTCAGATCCTATTCACACAGTTCAATTGCCATGGAGCCGAAGTCTTTAACTACACGAATGGGCTCCATGGCATAGCTATCTGGGTTAATAACTTCACATAAAGTCTGGTCCATAGTCCAAAGGCAAGAGGCGGGCAAGCAGCCCCCTCCAAGGACACGTGGCGAGGCTGGTTTCGCCACAGCAAGTATTTGCTTAAGTCTCTCTTTACTAGAACTCCACAGCAGCACAGAAAAATAACCAATCAGAAAAAAGTTAGGTACCATAAAACTCCCCTCCCCATGCATCATTTCCTCTTTCAAGCTGCAACAAAAACAGAATAAAAGGCAGAAAACATAATGGGGAAGAAACAAAGTCCTAGATACGATGAATACAACGATGTCCACCATCCGAAAAGAACTGCCAAACCAGATAGCGTTGATGGACTGTAAACTGAAACGAGAGAAAACCAGAATCGAACAGGTTGATTATCCAATGAAATGTACTCTGAAGAAACATGTAGGTACCCAATGTAGCAACCAATAGTACCTGAATATGTAGATATCCCAACCCTACTTATGAAAAAACAGACATAAGAACAGACGACAGGTAGCAGAGACAACCAGCAGAGATGCATACGTACCTGATTAATCCAAACTATTAAAATTAAACAAGAGAGGGAGTGGGAAGAATGGGTGGGAAATACTCGCCTCCTGTCATTAATAAAATTAAGATTATAGGTACACTAAAGCTAGCATAATCTACAATTTTATAACTTGACAGGAGGTTTCGTATTTGCTGTTTTAACGCTCCGTCCACAAATCCAACGCTGTTTGTTTCGCTGGTACCTATTTCGGGAGCTATCCGAGCAATCCTAAATGGACTTTCCAACTGCGATAAATGACAATAGACCGATCGGTGAAGATGCCAGTTGACGAAGCATCCCAAATATGGAAAAAAAGACCATCCGCTGATCCATTGTACGTGGGGTTGCGACCTGTTTCCTACCAGCCAGTCTATGAGCTGCCAAGCTGACCTATTAGCAATTTCCATGTAGTTATAAAATGTCGAAGGTCATCTGCGGACTTAGGGCCGCGATAAGACACTGCCACCATGTCTCATCTCTTGCCCGTTTGCTCCATGAAGGTCTCCGTATCTCATGTCATCTTGATATGGGAAAACTGTCTGCACAGTTTGTTCGCAATGTTCCGGATATCCAAAACAGAATGCAATTCTCTGTTTTATATAGCGCAGAATATACCAAAACCTGCACTCTTGTAATACCTGAGGCTCACCCGTTAGCCGTACCGTCTCCAGGAGTGTGTAAATAAGTGGGAGTCTCCCCCTGTTATACCTCTGTGAGTATTTCTCGCTTGTGGTACAGTGGTCCAGATCCAGTAGATCCATTACAGGAGATAATATAGAGGGATCCAGTCTAAATATGTATATCCTGCATGATCAGGCAGCCCTCTATAACAAAACAGTAGCACGGTTGTTAGATCTAATTGAATGCAGGAGGGATGCCCCTCTATGCAGTCATCGAGGTCTTGTACAGGTACAAGCCTGTGTGATGAACAAATGGACGGCACTGTAGAGCGTAGAGTGTATGAGAGAGCCGCGCTCTCTAATAATGTGACCGAATTCCGTGTCAGCGTCCGGCTGATAGCCTGAGCGGGCCGCACCCATTAATAACCAAACAGTAGAGTCTACATCCGTGACCGGTTCTCTCTATGAGAATGTGTCACTCCAAACATGTCCTCTGTATCCCGCTCAGTATCGGGCTGAGGTTGAGGGAGGGCCGCGCCCTCTAATAACAAATCAGTGTCCGGTTCTGTATATGAGAGGGGTTCGCTCTCTGTTCCTGAAAATAGAATATCATTCTCGGATCGAGGTGATGGAGGGCCGCACCCTCTTGTGATCCAAACTATACTCAGGGTGACCAACTGCAGTGGTACACCAATTACTAATATCAGCATAAGACTGAGGTCCTTAGGTGGGTCTCTCCTCGACCACGAGACCTCTCTCTGAATTGCTCACCTGAAAAGGAATCAACTGGTAGTAAACCAGACCGATGGCAGATGGGATAGTATACAATCTTGGGCCGTGTTCATTCTTAATAACAGAAAGGGATGGTGTGCGAAAATGCAACCTTCGGAAACAATGATGGAAACTACCAAATGACCGCCCGGATCCCGTGCACATGCGCGGGGTCCAGGATGACTGTCGGTAGCCTGAGAAAAGCTGGAGACATTCTCCGCAATCCATGAACGCACGGGAGGTCGGAGGAAGTCAAGTCAGGCCTCTCAACGACCTGAGCGATAGGAAAAGAAAGGCACGAAAACAAAAACAATAATAAATGTAAATAAGGGTAAATACGTAAATTCGAACTCGGATAGAAGGCAAATAGCAGGCCGGAAGGCAAGTCAAGTAAGCCCCACTGAACATGGCCAGGAGCTAACCTTACACAGGAATAACTACCGATATCTAGATGGATATCGGGTGGCAGTTAGAGGGTTAGTTGTTAAGGGCATGGAAACGCCGTGTCCCCCTGTAGGCGTCTGAGTACCGGTCCCTGCCTGTGCAAAGTTCTTCTTGGAGATGTGCTGTTGCCGGGCTGGTGTAAACCATGCATGTGTGCCCGGGGTCTTCATAAGAAACCTTGCCCTTCAGGCGTGAGGTTTAGGGCCTTTCACCCTTCCCAACATACTCAGGTGGCCGTATACTGGCGTCCTTTTGGATAGTATGGCAACACTGCTTGCCTGGACACCTGCCTATCTCCATGTCACTAGTGGGTATTGGGTTTTCCTCAGTGATATTCCCCCAGGCCTGCGGCCAAAAGGGGTTCGGCACCAATAGAGCATCAGACGGGCACAGGCCCAGCAGGCCAAACGAATGGGCACAGAATAGTTATAATATAATATATATATATGCGTAATGAAACAGGTAACCTTGGGTTAAATAATTTCAATATGTAAAACCCACTAGCAGGGTAGTAATGTGATTATAACAGTATTTTTATAATACCTCTGGATTAAGTAGCTATAATGTCTCCAGTCTAATATCACAGATGTTACAGATACTAGTGATGAAGTGCTTTACCACTATACAGGGAACTGGCAGACTTTAATGTTTGGCCAAAGGCAGAAAACCAAACTGCAGGCATCTCAGAGCAGTACAGGGTGTACTGCCTAAAGCCTATTCTCCAGCCCAGCAAAAAATATTTATATAAAATTATATAAATGTGGAGTCATCTTGGGTTATAGATGAACCCTGAGCAGGGTGAAGGGCCCTCGTCTGATATAAAAAACTCCGGCTGTGATCGGAATCCGGCCTTGATTGACAGAGGGGAGGAAAGCCCTTCAAACAGACCTCCAACCTGTTAGGAACAGACGGGGGGAGGGGCTGCGAGCAGTCGCACCCTGTGGCGGAACCAACCTCACCACTGGGCATTGGAGAAGCCTGTTTGCCTGCCTGCTGACTATGGCCCCTGGGCGATTTGATCCTTTAAATACATGATTTGGGCATAATGGATTTGTGTTGTGCTACTGCTGGCCCTTTAAGAACCATCTGGGGACATACTGTGGAGTTACTGGGTGGCCACCATTTCATGTATCAGAGGCACATGGTGAGAACAATGGATGAAGCACATGGTGAGAACAATGGATGACGGCTATTTTAACTCACAGACACTGTGTGGACTTTTCTACACGGTGCCATCTTGCCGGTATTTGGTGCACAGAGACATCGTGCAGTAGTTTTAAACTATACAACAGGGGACACAGTATATAGTAATTATTTTTTATATAATCTGGGGACATACTGTGGAGTTACTGGGTGGCCACCATTTCATGTATCAGAGGCACATGGTGAAAACAATGGAGACGGCCATTTTTACTCACAGACACTGTTTTGAATTTTCTACACTGTGCCATCTCGCCGGTATTTGGTGCACAAAGACATCGTTCAGTAGTTTTAAACTACAGATCAGGGGACACATTTAACAGTAATTATTTTTCATATACCCTGTATATGTTCTGCGGAATCTGCATTAAACTGTATCTTCCAAACTACTGAACGGATCTGGGTGAATTTTGGATATGTGGTTCACCTAGATCCCTCGGTTCCGAGGATATAATTTATGGGGGTATTGCATGTTTTGGGGTCCCTGTGATATGATTTATAATACTGTATTTTCCTGTCTGTGATAATTAAGTTAGTCTATTGTGTGGAGATAATTGTATCACAGGCAGAAGGTAGGATTTCTGATGTAATGAATGGGAGTGTTAGCTGTGTTGTAATGTGTTGATTGGTTGTTCTTCAAAACCCTGTGGGCAGTTTGTAGAATGTGAATAAAAAAGGCTGTATGTGCCAGTACAGTCAGTTCTACTTCACCCTCAATCTAGAGTCCTGTCTCTTATTAGGGGAATTGCTATGCTCTTCATACTCCCTTAGCTAATCACTACGAAGCTCTTTTAAGAGCTTGTTCCTGCTTCACTCTCTTGGAGGAGAGGTTCACCCACTGAAACCTGGAGCCTTGTCGTAGGTCCAGGGTGGGTAGGAGACGGCGAGACCCCAACCAAGCTGCGGCAGTTTGTGGGGTCTACGGTGGTTGTGGTGTCTGGCGGAGCGCTTGGAGCCCTCTGTAAGCGCTAGGAGCATCCTTTAACAGATGTACCCAGTCTGGGTGCCAGGTGAGCCGTTACAGATGGTGAGACCCAGGCGCAGCTGCATCGCTGGTAGAGGGGTCTGCAGTGCTTATGGTGTCTGGTGGAGTGCTGGAATTCCTCGGTGAGCACTAGGAGCATAGATTGGTAGTGGCACTCTGTCGGAATGCCAAGCGGTTCGTCACACTCCCCTTTTTACCTGAGTTTGCCATGAGTTCCTGGAGGAGCCTGCTTGCCAGCCTACTACCCACAGATTATGATCCCTGTGATATATAATGTAAAAGTCTCCAGTATGTGCTGCTGTTCGGTTCTCGAACAATATAGCTCAAAATACACGATCAGAGACTTAATTATATTTCACCGGGTCTATAGTTTGGGCAGGAGGCTGGAAAGCAGGCTCCTCTAGGAGCTTGTGTCAAACTCAGGTAAAAAAGGGAGTTTGACCCCACTGACTTGACATACCCACAAAGTTGCTACTCCAAACCCCCAATAATCCTGCCCAACCTACTTGATATACCACAACCCCTACACACACCCTCCTTTACCCCACTCTTCAGTGTACAAAGATTCACTGCCAAAGAAAAAGGAAAGGAAACTGATCATTCCGAAGGTAAAGGCTCTATCGTAACCGAGCTAAACCCTCAGTCATGATAAACTAATAGCGCATACTGATCAGACACCACCACTAGGGCAAGTGCATTACCCCAACCGCATACTAACAATCGTTTAACGTTATATTTACGCCAGGCAAAAAACAACAACTTTCCTGTTGATTAGTTCATTACTTGTTCAATGACCTGTATCTTATTGTATTATAAATTAACAAGACGAGTCTAACACCATAATCTCATATTAACAAACATTTAAAGCCATGTTTACGCAATGAAGACAAATATAACCTACTAGTTCATTGTTTTCACTACTCATACGATGTTATGTATACTGTCACTATATTACCATTGTTGAAACAAATTGAACTGTAATACCTGAACATGTCACGCATTAATAAATCAAAAATAAAGAATGTAAAAAAAAAGGGGGGTGGGGGGAGAATTTGTTAAATTGTCATCTTTTGATCTTGGCCTTGAAACTTTGTCAAGTTAAGGTTGATTAGGTTTATTTTTCGAACATGAACTGATTTCAGGATGTGTAATATATGTACTGATTAATATTATAGAGAGCAGTTTTAGGAGAACATGTTTTTGCAGCTGCATTAACTCAAGATTGAGAGATCAATCTTTCTGGTTAGGAGGGTAGGTTATTCTATTTTACTTATATTGCAAGCATATGCATTTAACTTTATTTACTCTTTTGTTATTGTCTATATTCATTTATGTTCAATAAAATATTTTTAAAGACAAAAGTTATTGCTTCCAAAACCCTATTTTTTTGTTATTCTAATTATTTATAGATTATAATACATGTCAACGATATATAGCATTTTTGCTGAGCTATTTATAAGGTTTGCCTTGCTAAATTCTAAGCATGTAATGCTCTCAGGGAAAATCATTTGGAACTCAACCGCAGATAAATAAATGTTTGATACTGTCTCTTTAAGAAAATGTAATTTATTGAAATAAAGTAACTTAACTATGGCTGTCTTCTGTGGCAATAAGGATTGGAAATAATGCATAAATAATGACAATCTTGTTGTATATTGCGTCACCAGCATATAGCATTGAGTAGATAATAAAAATAAGGGAATGTTCAATTAGCAATAAGCAATGCAGTCCATTAAATATCAATATAGAAGTGATAGAGCAGGTGATTCCTGTTTTAGGAAAGTAACACAGTCCAGTTGGTTGCAACAGCAAATGTTGAAAATAAGTAGATCCTGGATTGGATAGTGGTTATAATCTTTTTAGACTCTAACAATAATGAATAATATAGATAAGGAATGAGCAATTAGCAATTTAGACTTTCAATAGAGCAATCAATATGCAATGGAATCCCAGAGGGCAGACTTTAGTATTCCCTTTTTCCTTCCAAAATAACTTTTTAGGTAAAAAACAATTATTAATCCCAGTAACTGGAGAATTTATCTTGCTTTCAATAGATGATGAGCATGGAAGTTCTTTCCAGATTAGTGTGGATTATGGTTCCCTTTAGTATATAGAGAAAGGCAGGAATCTGTGGTGAAGTCTGTTCCTAGTCTGAGAGTGGAGAGTAGCCAGGATCCAACCAGAGAGGTTCGATACACCTGTAATCAAACAGAAGAACTCCTTGCAAACCGCAACAATGTAGCAAAGTGTATGAGAGGCACAACAAATTATTGATTGAGCAATTTGGATGCAGTCGTGGCTTCCTTTTGAAGGGAAGCGTGTGATGTCAGATGCATTGGCGGGATTAGATCAGCGAAACCCAAAAGTCATACGGGTAATGTCGATCAGACTTAAAATAACATGGAGGAATCCTGACAAAGCAAGTAAGACATTATAGAAGTAATAGGGATACCACTGTGATTATAATTGGCAACCACAAAGGGACTGTAAAATTTTAACACAATAACCAAGTGTCCACTTTGTGACCAACTCCCCTTTCCAAGTGAGTTTGTCACGAGCCCCTGGAACAGCCTGCTTGCCAACCCCCTGCCCACAAATTATGGACCCTGTAAAATGTGATGTAAAAGTCTCCGCTCGTGTGTTTGAACTCTATGGTTCAGCCACCGAACAGCCGCACGAACCTTGAGACCACCCTGGAGCTTGTTAAGCCTAATTGACACTTTGTAGCAACTTCCACCTCGGTGTTCTAAGTGTTCCACTGGGTGGCCGCATTTCCTATGAATGACCACGAGGTGGCGGCCATCTTGTTAGCACAAACGCAGGCAGCGATGTTTGGTCGTCAAGTTCATGGAACTGTTTTCGGACACGGAAACTCCCGAACACCGCTGGACTTCCATGATCACCTGTGTTCGGTTCTACAACACTTAGAAAGGTGCTGTTCAGTGGGAATGTTACCACAAACAAGGGAATCAAGCTCCAGGGTAAAACTATTGACTGTGCAGTTGTCTGTTCATTTTAAAACTACCGAACTAAACCGACCGCAAGCCCTGATTCTCTGGAACTGTTTTGGGCATGGGACCATGCGTGAAGTCAGTCAAAATTAAGACTTCCGTGAAATTCCTGAATCGATCATGGTGCTTCTTGGATATGTTGGTCACCCAGATCGGGGCTATCAGGGGATGTAACTTTTAAGGGGGGTTTGTGTAATTTATGGGTATTTTTAATATGATGTAAAAATGTGCATTTTTGTGCCTGGAGATAATTGAGTTTAATACAGTGTGTAACGGATCACCTGGCACCCCGACTGGGTACCTCCATTGAAGGATGCTCCTAGTGCTTCCTGAGGACTCCAAGCACTGCAGCAGACACCACAACCACCGAACAGGAGAAGCATATGAATGCTCTCAAGCATATGTATGTTGTATACAGATGAATAGGAAAAACCATGCGAATAGGTTTACACTCCTAGCAGTCAAACTGGAACAGCATACAATAAATCCTCCCCCAATAATGAGACGACACTTCACTTTGAGGGTTAAGCAGGAACTCTCCTATTGTTTTCTTGGCGATCTGCACTGTACTCTCCGCGAGGTTGGGTCCACAGAGCGACAGCACCGCATTAACCTCTCTGTCAAACTGCTCTTGAGTGTAGCCAGGCGCCATGCTTGCTCCTAAGAAGTTGGTTCCTCTGTAGATAGGGGTGCCGTACGGGTACTAGCGTTACCCTCAATTTGTAAATCCAGGGAATGGTGTTACCTTGTAGCTGTCCTTCTGGGCTGTGGGAATGATCTGGGTGAACCACATATCCAAAATTCACCCAGATCTGTTCAGTACTTTGGAAGATACAGTTTAATGCAGATTCCGCAGAACATATACAGGCTAAATGAAAAACAATCACTGTATAATGTGTCCCCTGTTGTATAGTCCAAACCACTGCACGATGTCTCTGTGCACCAAATACCAGCAAGATGGCACCGTGTAGAAAAGTCCACACAGTGTCTGAGTTAAAATGGCCGCCATCTATTGTTCTCACCATGTGCTCTGATACATGAAATGGTGGCCACCCAGTAACTCCACAGTATGTCCCCAGATGGTTCGTAAAGGGCCAGCAGCAGCACAACACAAATCCATTATGCCCAAATCATGTCTTTAAAGGGCAATACATCCCAGGGGCCATAGTCACATGGCAGGAGGCTGGCAATCAGTCTTCTCCAATGCCCAGTGGTGAAGTTGGTTTCGCCACACAGTGCTTGACTCAGTTATTTCCCAGACATAGGGAGGGATTATTCAGATTTATGTGGGAGTGCCCTGGACCTGAGAGCCAATGGGATTGAGTGTATGTTTTTATTGTGGTTTACTCTCAGGTCCAGGGAGGAGTACCCCTTGCATGTGGACCTGCATATAAGTCCAGTTGTGGCTGCCAATAAACAGATTCCACTCCAGTTGTGGCTGCCAATAAACAGTTTGTACTCCTAGCACTATGTGTCATCTGGTTACTAGGATAGTGCTGGGATGACACTGTTCCAGTGTGGAGGATTCAAAGATGAAAGTCCTTGTAAGAACTAGAGCTCCCAGGACTGAGTGTCGTCCTGTGCCGTGGGGGTTGTCTGGAGCGAATTCCCCGTTTGGCTCCAGGAGGGAGTGGTTCCAGGACTAGAGCTCCCAGGACTGAAGCCAATCAGGCAGCAAGCCCGCACCACCCAAGTTGGCTTACACTCTGAGGCTCAGGTAAGCACATGTGGCCCCGCCCACCCTCCAAAATCCCATAATAATCCCTGTATACGAACCCCCCAACTCTGTCCCCCTGTCACGACACTCCTTAGTTAATATGCCCTCGTGCAGTACTCACACTGACCACTGTTTCTGTTTGGCACTGTTGCTCATTTCTCTTCGTTAAGCACTGGCCCTTGTTTAGCAGCTATTTATTCTGGTTTCTCCCCTCCCTCCGGGTTAGATCATTATCCTCTATCCTTTATCTCATGTCTGCTGGTTCCTGTTCCCCGTGATTCTGACTCCTTGCATCCTGTGTTCCTGTTCCGATTGTCCTTATGGTCTTGCTTTCTCATCTCTGCCTGGTCCTGTGTCCTGTGCCTCCTGTTCAAGTGTTCGCTTGCAGTGTTCCTGCCTATACTTCTTTTCCAGTGATTCTGACCTTGCTGCCTTATTTACGTATGACCTAATTTGGGCTTTGCTCCTTGGTGGTTTTATTTAATGCTTGGTGGCTTAGGATCTGTGCCCCACCTATATTCAGTGGTGGCTGCATGATCCTGCCTAAGGACTTTACTTTTGCCAAAGGACTATTAAGTGTACTTTGTATCCATGTCCCACCTATTCTGTGATGGCTGCACGATCCTGCTTTAACTATGAACTTTTAGCATTAGGCCTATTTATGTATACTCTGCCTGCTCTATTTGTATTTATATTGTATTTTCTTTAATACATATTTTCTTGATTGCTCCATTCATCATGCCCTTGTATTATTTCTCTGCTAAGTTGGTTCCCACATTAAAAGGGACAGTGCTGTCGCAGGGCAGCACCCCTTCATGTCCTTACAGAATGATCTGACTATTTGGAACCAGCAGAGAAACATGTCTAGGATCACTATGAATAATGTCATTAATAATTATGCTGTTTCACAGCAAGAGTAAGGTCCTATTAAGGACTGTTATGATCAGTTAAAACATATTCAGCAGCAAATAGAAAAGGTATGCATGTCTACTATAGAAGTCTCCTGTCAAGTCCAGAAATCTGTATTACGTGGATTTATCAATGAACTTCAAACTTTTCACAAACGTATATGTGACTCGTTGCTTTCTCAGTTACCTGATTGTGATAAATGGTTGAGAAAGCCTCCTGTGATAAGTAGGGTGTAAACTCTTATCCGTATGTCTCTTAAAGAAATATCACATAAAAAATCTCTGTCATATTTGCAGAAACAAGTAAGAGTAATGCACAATAATTTCATTGCCTTATTACCCGAAGTACAAAAGAGAAAAAATAGGAATAAAAACCAGCGCTTATATATCTCAATATTCAGAATAATATGCCAATAAAACAAATTGTGACAAAGATTAGCTGCTAAACATTCAGACAAAACCTTCCAAGTTTGCAAAATAGAATATTTGAAAAACAAAAGAATGTAGCGCTTATATTTCCAATAATAAATTATCACCTTTTGGTATCATAGAGAAGACGGGAAAACTTGAACAATCGGTGAATCGAATGCCTATAACACAAATAACCAAATATAGTGTAGACAGTATGATACTTAATAATATATTGCACTTAAATAGTAAAGCTCACTCACAAACAAGGAGCTATGGACCTAGCTCCAGTTAAAATCGCATGTGGATCCGTTTAGGCGATCCTCCCCTATTTTAAATGGTGGAACGTATCTTGTCCTGAGGGTAATTGTTTTCCGTTTCTGCTTTACCCTCAGGACAAGATACGTTCCACCATTTAAAATAGGGGAGGATCGCCTAAACGGATCCACATGCGATTTTAACTGGAGCTAGGTCCATAGCTCCTTGTTTGTGAGTGAGCTTTACTATTTAAGTGCAATATATTATTAAGTATCATACTGTCTACACTATATTTGGTTATTTGTGTTATAGGCATTCGATTCACCGATTGTTCAAGTTTTCCCATCTTCTCTATGATACCAAAAGGTGATAATTTATTATTGGAAATATAAGCGCTACATTCTTTTGTTTTTCAATTATTACCCGAAGTTCAATTTCTTATTGATCTTGTACAAGAAATAATGGCTGCCTTTATGCCTGTTAATGATAATCGTATTCCCATTTATGATGTACATAGCATAACTAATCCTCCTGACTGTTACTTGGGCAAATGGCTTGTTGGTCCTACCACCTGCAAAACTGAAGTTCCTCACAAATTAAAAGCTGAAAGCTTTTCATCCATAACTGAAGAGGACGATATGGAGGGGTTGTATAGCACAGGCGATCACCTCATGGACCAGATCTTCGATGTTATTAGTGCTCGCTTTATAGCTGCTCTGGATGATGAGCAGCATGAACATGAACGCAGTACCAGTATGCAGTTTTCTAATATTGTCTTGGTACCAGAGACCCATAGTGCCCTTATGCCACCGTCTCTTTTTTGCAAGATCCACTCGCCTATTCCCATGTTGAGGATACCGACTACCAAGATGAGCACTCTCAACACCGTTCAGGAGGGTACAAGTCAGGTCAGAAATTGTCTCAAGCAAAGTCAACAACCAGAGAAACTAATTCCTCTATCACAGTGACAATTGAGGAGACCACCAGTAACCTTGACCAGGTAACTGGTACTGATCTGGATATCAGTCCCCCAAAGGACAATGCAGTTCATGCTCCAAGGGACAATACTGAATCTATAGAATCAGAAGTTCAAATTTCTACACCTCTTCCTGAGTCATCTAATACTGGAGACTCAAAACTGGGAGAGCCACCTATAAAAGTTGCTTTGGGCGATGCAATTGACGACAAGGCTGGGCCACTGAAATTGGAAGTTAATCTCGTAGAAGATGATCCTCCTGTCAAAAGGCCACCATGTAGGAAATGTGGTAAACAACATACTTCTTCCAAAACACTGTCTTAGAAGGCTGAGAAACTCAGTGGAAGAGGAAGTTATCGTCCCAAAGGCAGCTCACGACTTTGATGTGGAGAGGTTGGATGATTCCAATTCTAACCCTTCTGCCTCTGGGGGTTCGAGGATTGGCATCTCTCTAACACCCGCAACTGTAAAAAATGAGTTGACACCAAACAAAGAAGACTGTCATCCTCAAGTGGAATTCAAAGAGTCAGACTTGGTGCAACGTGACAAACTCGAAATGGATCAAGCCCAAGAATAGGATCTGAATGAGACAGGGCTTGTTCAGAAACCACAGTGTGAAGAAGAATCTACAGTTATAGGCAAGTCTAACCCTGTTCTTCAAATTACAAGCCCTGGTGGGACAATTTCCCTGCTGCAATAGGAAACACAAACTACCACACTTGTACCTGAACAAAACATTGAAGACTCTTCTAATCAGCAGCTTAACCAAACTCCTAATGAAGAGAGTGAAACTAAACAAGAAAATAGCATTCACATATCTGATACCTGTTCACTTGTTGAAGAAAGCCCCTTCTATGACTTAACAGTGGCTATGATGGCTGTCACTTCACCCTTACCACCTGAAGAAGACTTGTGTCTCACAAAGGCTAAAGTGCAGAAAGGACCAGAAAGGGAAAAAGAACCCAAAGTATGTTCTTCTGCAACTCCACAAATGGAACTTGCTACAGTTAACGATGACTATATGCTCAAGACTACAGATGAGACAAAGGATACTGAGGAAGTATCTAACCCTGTTTCTTCGTCCATTAAAGAAGTGCAAAGATCGGTTGGTAATGAAGGTTCCGCTCTTGAAGAACCGCCTAACCTTCAGCAAGTATTAAAGAAAGAGGTGTCTTCAGTTCAGTGTTTTTCTATGCCACTTAATGAACTACCTCAAGCTGAGCACATTAACGAAGAGAATGATCTAAGTGACCAGCGGTCTGAGGAGGAGGGTTCGCAGAGTGCTCCTGATCCTGTACTCATTAATCTGGGAGATTCTTCTTAATTGATTCCAGTGGCACCTGCCCAAGTTTACTCTGAGACTGTTCTCCCTTCTATGAGAGTTGCACCACGGCCTTTATTCCGAGGAACTAACAAGCCAGAAACCAAGTCAGACCCAGGACCTCTGAGTGATGCTCCTGTTTCTAGCGATAGCCTCAGGTCTAGTAGGATGACACGTTTGTCAATCACTGGTAATGAGAGTTCCTTATCGTATGTATCCTTGATTTCTGTGTACGTGTCTACCCTCCTGGTGTATCATGATTGTCTATGGTCCTTACTTATCTATGCTCCTACCCTGCCTCGTTGGTTTCTTCCTTGGGACTTTCCATTTGTCATTCCTCCTAAGCCTCCTCCTTGTTTTCCTCACTTGGTTGGGTGACCCGGGTTCTCTTCTGTCACCTGTAGGGGGTCTTGGAGGTTTAGAGCGCCAGGAGTCGCTCATTATGTAGGGGGTCCTGGAGGTTTAGAGCACCAGGAGTCACTCTTTGAGAGGGGGGTACTGTCATGACACTCCTTAGTTAATATGCCCTTGTGCAGTACTCACACTCACCACTGTTTCTGTTTGGACTGTTTCTCATTTCTCTTTGTTAAGCACTTCACCTGGCCCTTGTTTAGCACCTGTTTATTCTGGTTTCTCCCCTCCGGGTCAGAATCTATCCTTTATCTCGTGTCTGCTGTTTCCTGGTTCCTGTTCCCCGTGATTCTGACTACTTGTTCCTGTGTCTTGTATCCTGTGTATCCTGATCCTGTGTTCCTGTTCCGATTGTCCTTATGGTCCTGCATTCTCATCTCTGCCTGGGCCTGTGTCCTGTGCCTCCCGTTCAAGTGTTCGCTTGCAGTGTTCCTGCCTATACTTCATATCCAGTGATTCTGACCTTGCTGCCTTATTTACGTGTGACCTGCCTTGGGCTTTGCTCCTTGGTGTTTTTTATTGAATGCTTGGTATTCTGTGGTGGCTGCACGATCCTGCCTAAGGACTTTACTTTTGCCAAAGGACTATTAAGTGTACTTTGTATCCGTGTCCCACCTATTCTGTGGTGGCTGCACAATCCTGCCTTAACTATTTACTTTTTGCATTAGGCCTATTTACGCCTGCTCTATTTGTATTTATATTGATTTCTTTAATACATATTTTCTTGATTGCTCCATTCATCGTGTCCTTGTATTATTTCTGTGCTAAGTTGGTTCCCACATTTAAAGGGACAGTACTGTCGCAGGACAGCACCCCTTCATGTCCTTACACCCCCTCCATCAGAGCACCATTCCCATTCCTACACCAGGGCCCCCCGTGCCCACTACCTAAACCCCGAGCCCCAAGATCCTAACTCAGACCTGGCCCCCCATATCCTGGGATACCCCCTGATGAGTTTGAGAAGGAGGTAGCCTCCGACCCGACCCTACAGGGATACAGGGGCAAAGCATCCACGGGGGGGGGGGGTTAAGAAAGAGGAGGAGCATAGCAGTTAGGAAGGAATGAGTTACAGCCCATACTACCACCAAGCAGTTGGTGGCACCCAAGAAATATCGACAGGAGCTTCTGAAGCTGGCTCACAATATTTCCTTGGGTGGGCATTTGGACAGGAGCCGGACGGTGTCTCGGCTCACCCAAAGCTTCTTTTGGCCAGGCATCTCACAGGATCTGCGATGCCTGCCAGAAGGTGGGGAAATGGGGGGATGAGATCATAGGGCTCCCCTCCATCCCTTACCTATTATCGAAGATCCGTTTGGCAGAATAGCTGTCAACATTATAGGTCCCCTAGCCAAGCCTAGTCTCTCTGGTAAGAAGTACATTCTGACCATTGTGGATTACGTGACTCGGTACCCCAAGGCAGTCACCCTGAGCAATATTCAGGCAGAGATGGTAGCTGAAGCCCTAATGTGAGTGTTCTCTCGGATGGGTTTTCCCCGTGAGATTCTCTCGCACCAGGGCACCCAGTTCACTGCCAACATGACCCAGCAACTGTGGCAGCTCTCCTTACCACCCCTAGACCAATGGCCAGTGCGAGCGCTTCAATGGTACGTTGAAGCAAATGCTCAGTACCTTTGCAGCAACTCGCAAGAATTAAGAGAGATTCCTGCCCCATCTCCTTTTCGCTTATCGGGTGGTCCCGCAGTAATCGATTGGGTTCTCCCCTTTCGAACTAATGTTCGGGCGGAGAGTGCGGGGACCCTTAGACCTCGTGCAGGAGCACTGGGAGGGTGCTGGGGATCAAGAAGGGACCTCCACTGTTCCGTATGTACTGGAGTTTAGGGACCGACTGGAGGGACTCACCCACTTAGTGCGAGGAAAAACTCCAGGCAGTCCAGAGACGTCAGCGCACATGATCGGGGAGCCGTAGCTTTTAGGTCGGACAAAAAGTCCTGGTACTGAAGCCCGTCCGACATGACGGGTTACAGGCTGCCAGGCAAGGCCCATACCGAGAAGTGGAACGGAAGGAAGACACTACCTATGTGATCGGTCCATGCTCAGGTACCGGAGTCAGACACCTGTTACATGTGAACATGATTAAGTCCTACCACAGGCGGACCGAGGATGTCGTTGCCATTTGTGCGCCAGCCTCAGAGGATTATGGCAATCTTCCCCTGTCTGACCTCCTGGAGGATGGTATGGCAGAGTCCATGGAAGAGGTCCAGTGAGGGGATCGACTGACCGAACGAGAGCTCAGCCAGGCCAAACAGATGCAAACAACATTTTTAATATATACCCCCCTGGCCACCCATGGAGTAAACCAACCACCCCTATGGCACACCCCCTAACGGGTACCGGAGGCACCGGAGGCGGTATGGGGAAGGATGCTACATGAGATCCGAGAGATGCTCCAGCTAGGGGTCATCGAACCGTCCACCAGTCCTTGGGCCATCCCTGTAGTCCTAGTGCCAAAGAAGACGAGACTACCAGGTTCTGTGTGGATTACAGGAGGCCCAATGACAAGACAGTCTCTGATGCCTACCCCATGCCTCGCATAGATGAGCTACTAGACAGAATGGCTCTGGGCCGATACCTCACCACTATTGACTTATGTAAAGGATACTGGCAGATTCCTCTAGCGGCGGATGTTGTCCCTAAGACTGCCTTCATCACTACCTTTGGCCTGTACCAATTTAAGGTAATGACATTTGGGATGAAGAACGGCCACCTTCCAACGGATTGTGGACCGGCTGTTAAAAGGCTTCCAAGACTATGCCTGTGCGTACCTAGATGACATTGCCATATACAACGAGAATTGTGAAGAACACTTGATACATGTGGGTGCTGTATTACACAGGATTAGGGAGGCAGGATTGACTTTGAAGCCCAGTAAGTGTACCCTGGGGATGCGGAGGTGCAGTACCTGCGGCACCGGGTGGGGTGTGAGACGCAGAAGCCCGAGCCCGCCAAAGTAAAGGCCATAGCTAACTGGTCCTTACTAAGACTCAGGTGCTTGCTTTCCTAGGGACAGTCGGATATTATAGGAAGTTTGTCCCCAATTACAGTGCAATAGCCAAAACCCTCACCGACTTGACCAAAAAGTCCCTGCCCACACGCTGGACCCCAGAGTGTGAGCAGGCATTCCAAGCCCTTAACGATGCCCTGACCAATGCCCCTGTCCTGGCTTCTCCTAATCCCCAAAAATGCTTTCTTGTTCACACAGATGCTTCCATGTTTGGGTTATGAGTGGTGCTGAGCCAAGTCGGGGAGGATGGCGGAGAACACCCTGTGGTTTACCTCAGCAGGAAGCTGCTGCCCAGGGCGGTAAGCTACGCCGCCATCGAGAAGGAATGCCTGGCGGAGGTGTGGGCTATCAAGATGCTGCGGCCCTATCTGTATGACCAGCAATTCACCCTGCTCACGGATCACAACCTGTTGGTCTGGCTTAACTGGGTCGCAGAAGACAATGCCAGACTGCTACATTGGAGCCTGGTCCTTCAACCATATGACTTTACCATCCACTACAGACCCGGTAAGCAGAATGGCAATGCCAAAGGATTGTCCAGACAAACAGCCCTACACAAATTATCTGTGGCAGGACCACTACCTGCCTGTGAATTGCGCTTACCTGTATGTGGATGTCTTACCCTGGAGTGACTGTGTGCTACTATGACATTCCCCTGTTTTGTGTGCTTTCTCCCTCTGCTCTCATTTTTCGTTGGCTTTACTGAGCCAGCTACCTGCTCCCCATTTGGGAGGACCCATATCAACAAGTTCCATTGGCCTCCCGAATGGGGACCACCACGATACCTCGTTAACAAGGTGTGAAAACCACAAACCACCAGGGAAGCCTTGGCGCGAGCCCACCCTGGGTTGCGGCCTGTTCGTTGTATGAGGCGGTGCATTCGCCAATTGCTTCTCATCTTGTTCGACTCCAGAACGAGGACCTCTCCAGTGCCCCATTAGAATGTTCACACCAATCAATTAGAACATTGGCAATTGCAACATAAGTGTGAAACCGCAAGGGAAATAATTAATCAGTGCTTTCCCCAGGTGGCCGCCTATCGTATAGACGAACGCCGACCCAGAGGGAGCATTCATATCATGAAAAGGAGATACTTCCCTTGCTTGATTTCACACAGGGACTCCACGAATGGAGGAGATTCACATTAGACACCATTGTGGAGTTCCCTGAGATTGGTGGGAACACTCTCTTGGGGACAATGGTAGCTTGGCTGACTTTCTGGACCTGGGAGCCCAGGAGGTGGGAATCTTTCTCGTGCTGGGACTCCTAGGTGCAGAGGGTCCTGGGAAGAAGACCCCTTAGGCCAGGAAGTGGGAAACCCTATATTTGGGTGGCGGGAACTGGGGATAAATGGACTAGAGTTTCTGTCCCCCACACAGACTCCTGGGAGGGGGAGGACTTGGGGGAGGGCACACTGAATGGTGGGAATCATGGGCAAAGGGGCTGGGGTCCAGGTTCTGTGGTAGGACTCCTGGAGGGGACATTGTTTCTTATGTGTTCTACCCCATGCATGGGGAAAGTATAAAAGCCACCTGTGCCAAATAAAGTGTTGTAGCCCTGGAACTGTGTATCGTCCAGTTATTGGGGGAAATATGAGTCTCTCCTCCTAGTCCCAGCAGAGGTAACCAGCCAGGGTACCCAGGTCCCGCTACAGATGTTTATATCCTCCTGAACACCAGAATCAGATACTTGTCCACTTTCATGACCGTACAATTGCAGGTCATCTAGGGATCCGCAAGACATATTCCCTAATTGCCAGGGAATTCTGGTGGCCTTCATTGAGAAAGGATAGTAAAGATTATGTTAAGGCTTGTACAGTATGTGTGAGAACCAAACTATCCACTACTCTTCCATGTGATCTACTTCAGCCTTTAGATATTCTTAACCAACCCTGGGCCAGTATAGCCATGGACTTCATTGTCGACTTACCAGCTCCTGAAAAGGTTTACTAAAATGGCGCATTTCATACCTCTGGTGAAGTTACCAACCTCACCAGAATTTTCGAAGATCTTTGCTAGGGAAATATTCCGGACCCATGGAATTCCTGGAGAAATTATATCTGACAGGGGTTTGCAGTTTATCTCAAAATTTGGGAAAACTTTCTGTAGACAATTAGTTTTATCTCTTAGTTTTTCTTCAGCCTATCATCCCCAATCTAACAGGGCAGCAGAACGTACTAATTAGAAGATCGAACAATACCTACGTTGTTTTACATCTGCTCATCAGGATGATTGGGTTGGCTTGCTTCCTTGAGCTGAATTTGCACACAACAGTTTGGTTTCAGATGCTACTCAACACAGCCCTTTCTTCTTGAATTATGTTTTTTGTCCAGGTATTCTCCCATCCACGTTTTCATCATTGGGAATGCTGATGGTTGATGTACACCTTGAAAACCTAAAGAATACCTGGGAGCTTAATATCTCCTCTCGAACAAATCTAACCTTGATTAAAAAAACCATGCTGATGTAAGTAGACGTGCTGCTCCTGTATATCAACCGGGTGATAGGGTCTGGTAAGCACGAAACATATCCGCCTTAAGTTTCCTTCAATGAAACTGGCACCTAGGTTTATTGGTCCTTACAAGGTGATTGCCCGTGTTAACCCTGTTGCTTATCGTCTTGATTTACCCCCGACCTTTCGTATTCTTAACGTGTTTCATGTCTCTTTGTTGAAGCCTTTGACCTGTAATAGATTTACCAGTTCTACTGTGACCCCTTCTTCTGTGCAGGTGGATGGTCGGGAGGAATACAAGAACCGATCTCTTTTTGATATTCGTTTCTCTCTTGGTAAATTACAATATTTGGTTGAATGGAAGGGTTATGGTCCTGAGGGTTCCTTCTGTGGTAACCAGCAATGTCCCCCATACTACTCACCATTGTGAAAGGGGTTATAGCTCTTCTCCAGCATCCCTCTCATCTCACCAGCGGTTTTCACACCGGCCGCAGTAGCCCCGTCCCCTATTATGACGCGCATGGGGGCGTTGATGTCACGACGCTAGCGACCTCATGTTCCACCGCAAAGTTGGAAATTGGACGTTTTGGGGGCGTGGCTACCATCCTAACTAGCCATAGTATAAAAGGGACTGACAGTGCTAGGTGCATTGCCCTGTTGTGGTTCATTTGTGTTCCCTATAGTGCTTTCTCTGTATACTGTTTTCTAGATTTTGACTTCAGCTATGTTTCTTGACCATTCTTCATTCTATACTCCTTTGACCTGGCTATAGTCTTACAGTTTATCCTGATCTCTGTACTCCTTGACCTTGGCTTGAATCTGACTACTCTTTGTTCTAATACGTTAGTCCAGCCATTCTAAGAACCGGTTGTAGCAGAAGGCTGATTTCCCAGACTATTTCCCCTGGTAATCCATATATGGCTCAGGAACAAGTAGTAAATCCAAGAGAGTAGCAGGCACATTCAGTAAAACAATCCAAGAATATCCCATCACCTTTCCCAATAACTGGACACACACACTTTTAGGAGCAGATCTGATGTTTTATTCCACATACCCCGCTTTTAAAAATTTCTCCCA